AACTGTTACAACAACAACAACAACAACAACAACATAATTTGTGTCTGCAAATGAATTATTCTCCTTGATTGGATGATATTTACAAAAGCCTCTTTTTCTCTTCTTTTGTTCCTCCCCTGAAGACAGTTTTGGGCTGCTCAGTTAACAGTGTGTGTGCTTTGTGCTCATATGCATGTGTCTGCTCCTTGTGAATATTCTGCTGGAGCTCTCCAGTCCCAATGCACTGGTTACCATGCGGAGGTCAACTTAGCCTTCCAGAGAACTCGGTCCCCAACAGCCTCTGAGTTGTATTTTCCTTTTTATGCAGGAATGTATGTTTGATCTCAGCCGGTTTAATAAAAACATTTTAGAGGGAGTTGAGAGGAAGGGCGCTGAGTTCACTAGAAAGTGGTCGTTCTCATGGAGTCCATCTAAGAGCCAGTTGGGAGGCAACCTCATCACCCTTTTGTTACTGCAGTGGCCTGCCAGATTCCCTACAGACTCTCAATTCTCAGCTCCATATTGCTGCCACAAGTTATCGGTCCAGCATGCTCCTCTGGGACCCTCCAGCAATGCCTACCTGCACAACTCCACTACGTCTCCACAGAGATCAGCAATAATGACTGCTGGCTAGCAGTCTGCTTCTCCGGGGCTGTGAGTTATGGCTGCCGGCATATCTCTCCGCAGAGATCGACCTGGTGACGTTCTACAAAGCCGAAGAAGTTTTCACTAATTCATTTGCTCAACAATACATTCACTTCTGCACTGACTTGTTTTGCTTGTACAATATGATGAAATACAATGGAAATATGTAAATTTAAATAGGAATAATTTATAGTTTGTTAATGCAATCTGTCATTTATTGTGGAACTTGTTTTCATTCCCTTCTCATTATTCAGCAACTTCTTTATTTATTTCATCATCCCTCTGTGTTGCTCTCCACATTACGAGGCTACACTGGTAGAATTTCATTACCTGCTTCAGTGACATGCACATCATGTGCTTTATCTATATACACTATAAACACATTTTCCTCTTTTATGGCTAGGGTGCTTTAGCTGAGTTTTTCTCCACATAGAAACGAATGGGAAGCAAATTTGGACAGTGATGCGAAAATCAGCCGTTGATGAAAGTAAGAACAGAAACAGAGGAACCAATTCAAGTACAAACTACAAAAGTAGTGAAAGATGGTGATAATAATGATAAATAAATAAAATGGTGCTGTTTCTCTCTTATTGCCTCCCCATACATGAAACTATCAGGGGCTTATTTTAGATACATTTTGGTCATAAGCAAACATCATAATCAAACCTCTGTACAGCAGTTTGCCATGCAAAAAAACTTGAACATGATACTAATTTATGTGCCACTCCACTTGCCACTGTTAGGTTACCCCTATGGAAATTGGCTCCACCACTGTATAGGTGTTCTTAAGCACAAACTTTTGTAAGTGGTACTCCACAGAGACAGACAGCTTTTGCAACTGAAAACACATACTTTCCTACCTAGACGGCAAAATATGACAAATCTGAGCATTTTTTCCTTCAATCTTCTTTTTCTCCTTTTTCGGCTTTATTGTATTTCATTCGGTCAGCCAGTGAGGCATTTTGTCATCTGGAGGTTCAGTGGTGCGTATAGTAGGAGACAGAACTCAGTTCTGCTTTAGTGCTCTGCTCTGGGACGACAGAGTGGTTCTATTACCTTGAATATGCTCCTGTCAGCAGAAACACCTCTCACCATGGGGGGTCCCACTGCTCACATGTTATGGACAGAAGCATGCCAGTGCTGACAAGCATGCACTTACACACACATGCACATAGAGTACATAAATAAGCACATAAATATGTATGTGTGTTTGATTTATAGCTATACATAACTGCACAACAGACGCGCTACATTGTTTTTGATCACTTTAAATGTTAAAGAAAAGATTCAAAGCACTTGCACAAACACAATGCCTCAGCAGGTACTGAAGCTGAACAGCATGCCGAAAAACAATAAAACCATGATAAAAAACAACATATGAAAGAAAACTACAAAGGAAGCAAATAAGGCACATGATTTAGGCATTCAACTCGGATGGATAGATCAGATGTAAGTGTGCAGTTTCATAACAGTGATAAAAGTGAAATAATGTCAGTGTGTCTGTTTTTGTTCACAGCGTGCATGTGTGTGATTTATCCTTTTTTTCTTTATTCTTGGATCCCCATTAGCTGATACAAGGTATACAGCTATTCTTCCTTTGGTTTTCAAAGAAAAGTGGAAGGGAAAGCCATATTGTAGCACAAATTATTCAGTGCATTCACCAGTATGTATGGATTTCAGAGAGAGCATTGATACTTTTTTACCTCCCCCCATCCATTTTGTTAAATTTTGAACAAATTGTCTGCTGAGCGTGAGCGTGATTCATACAGAGTGCCAGAGGCTGCAGCCAGGCCCAGTGACACATGCAGATTTATGTAAATTCTGTTCAGCCCTGTGCCACCTGCTATAGACCTCCCTGTGTAATTACCAGTGGAGGGGCGGTCTGTTAGCGAGAGATACCTGTTGGTGCAGACCCGGGTTCAAGGACATCCATCTCGGCTAATGGCCATATCTGAAACACAAACACATACACGTAGTACAGTGTGCATTCATTCTTTCTCTCTCTCCCATTGCTTGGTGCTACGCCTGTTCTGTCTGTCACTCCATCATTAATATCGTACATTTCCTGGCTTCTAGCTCTATGTTTTGCTACTTGTCCTTCTGTTTTGTTTGTCCTCCATTCACACCTCCTATCCTTCTCCTCTTACTCAGCTGGTCACGCTTACATGAAAAATGGATGCATGTCAAAATAGAAACGTATAAGCAAATGGAGATGGGTCAATCGGGAATGACATCAATAACGTCTCTTTCTCACCTCATAGGACAGTGTTTTCATTCACAGACAGCATGTGTAAGAAGCCCTTCATGTGAAATGGTGTGCTCCATCTCTGCTAGATTAGGTGATTTTACTGTGTCGTATCAATGGTGTCATCTTTAATGCACAACCATTTGTCCACTTCTTATTTTGCTACTGAAACTGCCAAAGTTTGTCATGTAAAGTTACTTTCATCCTATATCAGGATATTTGAAGTAACTAACTTCCCCTAGAGTTAACCAGTGACACTACAGATACACAAGAGCTAGAAAACATCCCATGGTTTTGAGTCACGGTTTCAGTCTCAGTTTCAGAGCTGTTACACTCATAAATCATATAGTGCTGGCCTGTTGTATCTGGTACCTTCTTCCTGATCTCAGGCTGTTATCTGGGTGGTTGGGTCCTAGTCCTATTCTTGCAGCGCCTGGTAGGCAGGTACAGTACCACTGTATGTTCCGGTGAATAAACAGTCTTTGCAAGGCCTTGCGGGCCGTGCTTATTCCATACCGTTGGCTTTCGATAGTACAGGAGCATTTGAGTATTTGAAAGCATACCCAGAATATACTCAAGTCTCTGAGGTGAAAAAGTCTCACCATGCCTTTCTCACCACTGAGTCAGTAATCTGTCATAGTTCTTAGAGCTTGCCACATGCGCCTCTGAATGCCTTCCTGGAATTTTTGTCCCGTAGACACTTTTTGCCTCCTTTACTTCTCTTCTTAGATTGAACACTGCTGCTATAATTGTCCATGTTTCCAAACCTTAAGTTGTGGACTGCTGTGTTTACGCCATCCTGGATAATTCTCATATTCCATGTTTTTTGGGTTTGGGTACAGTTGCTTGTATTGTTTCACAAATTAAATCCCCCACAGACTCAGTAAATCTATTGATGTCATCGGTGACGTCGCCAGTGGTGTCCTAAAACATAAAATCTGTACATCTGCACTGCTAGATTGAAATGTTATACAATTAACCTCACACTGCCTACAGCCCACAGCTCAATTTAAAAGCCATTCTGAAGAAAAGCTGAAAATAAATTCTAAATATATAAGGCTTAATAGAAAATCTTGGAAATTGCTTCTTACCAAGGAGTTGAGATTATTCAGGTATAAGTTATTTAACCCAATGGCGAGGAATGCCATTTCTGCTGAAAAATGAATAAAATGAAGATTGGACAAAAAAATATATGATGATATAACTGTGATCAACAGAATTGATCCTTTATTCGCTCTAAGTGCTATGCTGCCAGTTCAATTGAGGCTTTTTCTGTTTCACTGCAACAAAGAGAACATTCTGAAGATGCACAGAAAGGAAACTATTTTTCAGAAAGACCCATGCCTTTATATTGAAATTTGAATGTGGAATTCTTCACCTACATTTTACAAAAGAAGTGTATTCCAAACAATACCAAACACCATCTCCACAGGGTCGAGATGCATCAGGCAAGCCAGGCAGTGAATGACATTTACTGAAGGATAAATTAGGTTCTCAGTTCTGAAAAGTACTTTTATTCGTTCTTTCTCTCAGTGGGTTTTGCCACAATGCAGAGAAATACAGCAATGAGGTGTATTGATTTTGAAATGGTCTTATAGCTCACCTTAGTTTTGCAAGCTGTTTGTTTCTTGCCTTGCTGCTGCCTCCTCAGAGGTGGCCTTAAAGTTGATGCAGTTTTCTGTCACCAACCTGGCAGGCTGACAGAAATAATAGTAGTCCATAATATCAAAACTGTGTGACAGCATTACTGATATTATGAAGTACCATAATTCCTGGTATGCTTTTTTCAAGAGGCCATCATAAGAAGA